CCGGATCTAGGCAACCCACCCTTAGTGCGCTGACATATGCCGCAAGACTTAACAAATTTCTTCACGTCAAGGCCCATCTTGGGCCAGTAGAAGAATTGACGAAGCCGGAAATATGTACGATCCCGTCCCTGATGGCCTGCCGTAACACAGTCGTGGTACTCCTGCAGGAGCTGAAGCCTTACTGCACACTTGGGTACACACAAGCGATTGTTTGGTGCTGCACGGAGGTATAGGTACCTGGACTCTTCATCCCAATAGTACTGCTCGTGTAGATTATCAGAGGAATCGCCGCGCAGCCGCTGAATTATTGGGGAAAGCTGCTCGTCATTCTGATATGCTTCCGAAATCATCTCAGCAACCCTATCACTCAGTTCCAAAGCAAACTCAATCGTATTCAAATGGGGTGCTGGTAGGATGGGTGGGCAATCCTTTTCCTCAACTACATTGCCAATTGCTGACCCGCGCAGATCAGGGCGGCGGGATAACGCATCAGCCATATTTTCCTTGCCGGGTTTGTGATTAACTGTGAAGTCATAGTCTGCAAGAAATTCAACCCATCTAGCTTCGCGCTTAGTGAGATTGGCTTTTGTGCTCAAGTAGACTACGGCCATGCTGTCACTGAAAACTTCAAAATGCTGGAATAGATAAATTCTCCAGGATCGCAGTGCAAACACCACCGCCAGGGTTTCGCGTTCTGCAGCAGTGTAATTTCGCTCCGCTTGTGACAGCTTACGACTGGCATATGCCACAGGATGGCATCATACCGGCTCAACGGAAAAACTGTGAAAGATTGGGTGTCGCTGAAGTCTTTCACGATAACCTTTACCGGACCGGTCCTCTGCAGTTCCGATGATGTCGATGAGCCATCAGCCAGGGTTACCTTCAGTGTTTCGTCCTTGCTCTCCGTAACAAGGCCGTTTCTTTGCACGAAAGCTTCCGATATGAAGTCGTGCGTTGATCCCGAGTCAATAAGCATAATTGCCCGGCGGCCGTTGATCCTGCCCTCAACACGCAGAAGGTCATGCTCCAAAGGAAGCTCCGTGCCCTGTACTGCGATATCAACGTTGCTGACATGGGATTCCTGTTCGGCAACATCTTCCGAATCAGCTTGCAGCGTCGGTTCTTCCAGCTCTAGTACGCTGTAACGGTTGCGTATGTCAACCGGGTAACCGTTGGGTGCTTTCTGCTTGGTCGCCAGCGAGCGCACGCCATTTTTCACTGGCGACCAGCGTTTGGGTGTTGATTGCTGGGACAATCCCGAGCTAGGTGACCTGGCTTCCGACAAGCGAAGCATCCACCCTGCCGACTCAGGTGACGCCTCTCCTCCGGTGTTAGCCTTTGGGGTCGTACGGGCTGACTTCGGTGCTGAATCGGGTTCGGCTGTTGGTCCGCCGTTTGCGCTGACCTGATCGCTTGGCTCAGATCAGTGGGGTGCTCTCGCAGCACCCGGGTCTTGACAGATGGGTGCAGTCCATTTACGAACAGCAGTCCTCGGGTCAGCTCGTCGATCTCAGGCACTTGTAGGCTTAGGCGCGAGAACTCGGTGACATAGCTCTCCAAGCTTGAGTGCTGCCTGACAGCGAAGAGATCCAGTCGCACCCGCTCTTGATGATGCAACGGACCGTACACCTTGGCGAGGGCTTCACGCAGCGCTGGCCACGTCGAGAACTCCACACCCGTATCCAACGATGCGATGAGCCATAGCTTGGCGTTGCCGCTCAGGAAGCCCGCTGCGTAATCCACCATCACCGATGAGTCGGTGATTCCCAGTGACCGAATCGCCAGCTCAATGGAGAAAGCCCACTCCTTGAACTGCGAGGGCTTGCCATCGAAGATCGGCGGCTCCTTAGCGTGCCGAGGCTTCCCGGACGAATGAGCGGGCGGCACAGGGAGCGGTTGTTGTCGGTTGCTCAGACGGGCGCTGACTTGGCGACTGGCTTCACGGACCTCGCTGGCCAACCTAAATAGCAACACAGAAAAACAAGGATCGCCACGACAATGGCGAGCTCCAAGAACACAATGTTAACCATCCTCTGCTACCAGTGTAACCGTTTGAAGGTATTCTTGGAAAAGACAATGCTTGCTCAAGGCAACACAACTGATATAGGGCACTTCGTGCCCTGAGGTGATAACGCGCGTGCTGACAGGATAGGGAAAAGTGCAAGATACAGAGCTAGAGGGCAGATAAGGTTAGCGATAACAGGGAACTGTTACACTCTGGGCCATTAAGCTCCGGCAAGTTGTCAACGTGCGATGGACCTTGTCCGTAGGTAGTTCTAATGTCATGGCTATTGAACTGATCTGGAATCCCAGAAATTCCAACACCTGTAAGAGCTGAGGTTCTGACTTGCTGAAGTTTACCTGGAAACCCAGGGCCAGCAACAGATGAATGAGATTGGCCGCATGCTGCAACGCCTCTTGAAATGATCTAGCCATGATGAGTATATCGTCCAGGTACACGACCAGATGTACACCCTGTAGTTGGAAACAGGTGATCACCGGTTAAAGGAGCTTGGTGAATTGCAGTGGAGCAGATACCAGGCCAAACATGACAGGTGCAAATCGGTACTACCGACACTGCCACAGCACCTAAAGGAAGCGACGGAGGGTTGGATGCACTGGCATTGACATGTATGCGTTGGTTAGGTCCACTTTCACCATAAAATCGTTCTTTATCAGTGCCTTCCCCATGGTGGCAATACCTTCCATTATAAAATGGTGGTATTGCACAAGCCGGTTCAATTCCCGCAAGTCGGCCACTGGGCGCATCATACCGTTCTTTTTCGGTACACACGGTGGGCGGAAAAAGCCAGGTGTGCCAGGGGCACCTTTTCCCGGGCATTGTTCTCTTGCAGCGCCTCCACTTCCTCTGTCACCACTGCTGTCAAATCTTAGGACATCTTCCTGGGGAGTGGCTTCCACCACTGGACTGGTTCTTGACTGAACTCCAGGCAAAACCTTCGCACATATTGCGTGACTTCTGAGTCTTCGGTCAGCTTACGCCAGCGTCTGGTCTGACCACCAAATAGGCCGCTCGGACGTCCCTGGACCTCCGAGGCGGCCAACCTCCAGTCCAAACCCCACTTGGGTAACTGGGTGCATCCACACTGCAGTTCTGGTGGTAGTGCCTGCCAGCACACCTCTAGAAGGAAACGTATTAGGCGCTGTTTGGCTTCGGAGGGCCGTGCTTGTTGTCGGGCTGTTGGTGTGACCGGGGTTGACACTGCGGCTTCTTGGAGTAATGTGGACGGTGAGGGACATGGCTTGCGGAGGTCCACCCATTCCTGCGGGCTCCTCTCCCTAAAAAAAACGGCACAGGGGAAGCCTCCGAAGGCTTGCGGCATTTGGTGTTGCTATTCCTCTGGTCTTGTTCGAAGCTTTGCGGCCGTCTGTCTTTTCCAGCCACATGGGCATGACTTGCAGGCAGCGTATGACGTACATCGGCCCAGGCCTTGTCCGGTTCTGCTCACTTAGTTTTCTGCTCGTTCTGGGCAGAGCCAAATATTGACTAACCAGGGTTAGCAAGATCTGCTGGGGCTAGGATAGAGAGCTTGCGGTGGATCTTAGATAAACAGATGGAACGTCGTTTTATGGTGAGTGCCTGTTTAGCATCTACTGGGAGCCGCAGTGCCGCCGTAGTGGCCTCCTGGATCATCTGCTGACCTTGCTCACAGGAATCAGGGTTTTGCTTGTACCTCAGGAATGAAGCACAACGGGATCCACCACATTCAACACCTTCGGCTGCGTAAGGTACTGAGGCCTATCCGGCCGAGCCTCTGAACGAGGTGGCTTCCTGTCAGCAGAATATAACATGCGGGCGACTTGCGCATCCTAAGCCAGGACTAATGCAGCGGGATTGTCCGGGCAAGGGTAGCGGCGGGAAAATACCTGCCCGGATTTGCGTCGGAGTTCTGAGCGAAGACATGACTTGGGAAGCTTGGCAGTTTCGTACAAAACATATCGGGTAAACCCTTTCTGCTCCTCATCCCCGTCATCCACTGGCCGGTCAGTATTGGGACCCACACAGTCGGACTCCGGACTATGTGTGCTACCAGACTGAGAGTCCAAATCATCAGTTGCCACACCAGACACAAGCGGCAGGTGGCTTGATTGTGCCAGACCTGCTGGATCTTCAGGATCACACAGGTTTGAGGGAAGAGGTTGTAGCCTAGGTGGCTCTCTCGAGGTGGACCGAGCAGCAAGTGACTTCAGGGTGGGATTATTTACCAGGTCGCCATCAACGAACCCGCCACGCGTATGCTCAAGACCGGCTCTAGAAGCATGAGCGGGCAGAGTAGACCTCGCCAAAGAGGACTTAGCCAATTGTGAAGGAACTGGGATCAGGAGTGGATCAGTTTCCGGGGTACATGTACCATCCACGATCCGCGAGTCATGCTCTTGCCTAGAGTTGGACTCCAAATTTCACACCCGCATCGACTATTGTGGAATTCCAAAGATGCCAAACGCCTTTCGAGTGGGCGCAAAGCTTGGCCCAGAGCCTGCTGGACTAGAGAAAAAACATCCTGAGGTGCGCATTCCATACCGAAACTCAGACAACAGAAAACTTCAACTAAGCACTTCCTCGAAGAAAAAAAAGGTGAAGAAGAAGATAGAGTTTCCGCGTTTGAGCTGATGGATTACGTGTCGGGCAGTTTTCTTTTACGAAATTTTTTCTCCCAATTTGTAGTATAACTGCTATGTCGAGCAAAGGAAAACCCGATTTCAGGTCGGTATACACTGTTATTTCGAAGCCCGAAGCTCCGATATGCAAAAAGAATATTGGGATCCTAGAGAAAGTTTCCCACTTTCCAATGGTGTCATCACTTTTAAAACCGGAGTAACTATCGTAAGGAAATGTGGGTTGATAACACTATCTACCAGACCTATGACTTACTGTAGAGTAATACTGCAGATGTAGTTTACATGTCTTGCTATACATCAAGAAGATGATGAAAATTGTGTATTGAGATAGATGTGGGTGCTGGTTTCTATAAACTAACCTTCACCCGATGATTGCTCAAAACCGCAATAAAGACCTTTCCATCGTTGCTGATTGTGATGCCATATGGATTAGTGAACTGCACCCTGCCATTACCCTTGCTACCAAATGATGTGCAGCTATTGTGGATGGACTTATAGTGATTTTGTGTTGCAACCTGTAGATACACAGTAGAGATCATATTCATAACTTAACAATTCTGACCGGGTGAAGATCATACTAGCTTGTTGGCCAATCAGTATTCGTCATACAATCTCTTCACATAACGGGAGAAAAAATAATAATGAATGTTGAATATGTTATCGATGTGGTCTTTATAACATACCGTGCTATGTGCACGGTGTTTGATTACGTATTGGCTTAACAAGGAACACATATCAAGAAACGGTGTAGGAATTCACTGCACGGGAAAACAAAACACTTCAAAAACCTGTGCGCTGTAAATCAGGCTGAGTAGTATTGGTCAATTCTTCAGCTTTGCACTTTTCATTGCTATCAGGCTGAGCCCCATTCCCCCAGTGCTGTATTGATGAAGCCACAAGGGACAGAACCGGTGTGTGTGTGTGCGTTTTTGTGTTTGTGTGTGTGTGTGTGTGTGTTTGTGTGTGCGTGTGCGTGTGGGTGTGTGTGCGTGCGCATGCGTGCATGCGCGAGTGCGTGTGTGTGTGTGGGTGTGGTGCCACCTAGTTCGGTTGGTGGGTACACTTATGCCTGATTGTGTTGGGTGTGTTGCCAACAGGCTCGGCTGCTTGAAGGTGTAATGTTGTACCTGCCACCTTTGTTGGTTCCAGGGTTCATATACTTTCTATTTTAGTATACATACCTGTTAACCCAGAGTTTTGTATATTTTTGGGGATTTCAGGGTGATTTCACCGAAGTTTTGGGGATTTCAGGGGCTGTCGGCCGTTGCGCGGTTCAATAGCCAATTGAGTCATTTTTCCAAGATTCCTTTTGGGTCCCTCTCCCCTCTCCCGGGGAGACCCACGTGACCAGTTTTGGCAGTGACAACAAGTACAAGTACAAGTGTGTGTGTATGTTTGTATGTGTGTATGTGTGTATGTGTGTATGTATGTGTGTTCGTGTGAGGGGGGGGGGGGGGGGCTGGTGGTGAAATTACGTCCTCCGGAAACATAAAATTCATGACTTTTTCACGTGACTTTTCTGTGAGCAACTCTGCTCGACGAAAGTGTATTATTGGAAGGGAAACACTCCAACACACTCAATGGACATGTATTCAAAAATCTGCAAGACCGATTGATGGGAATAGAGTCTCAGTCTAAGTTGCCATTGGTCGATTAATCACCACTGGAACCAATCAAAGTAGCAGGTCGATCTACGTGTTCTCGCATGTCACAGTGCAGCTTGTTGTTGTTGTTGTTTCTGTATTTTACTTCACCATATGAACAGGCAAGACTGCCTTCTCACCGGGGCTATTGGCCCACGGCTCTCACAATATGATGAAAATGTTTAAAATGTGTATGAAGAAGAAAGGAACGGAAAAGAAGATGAAATGAACGGAAAGAAAACAGTAGTTATTAATTTTATGAAGGGGAGGGGTTAGGAAATGGGTATTATCATAGTTGATGAGAGAAGTTTGATATCAAATATTCTTGTTCTATAAACTATTTAGTACGGGCATTTCAAGAGAGTCATGCATGGGTCAGGCAGGATTTGGACTAGGATAGAGGACAAGAACATAATTGATGAGCATCTGTTCAGGCAGAATCTGTGAAGAAGACATAGTAGGCACAACATCGGAGAGCTAGTTGAGGAGGGAGATAAGGTCATAGCCAGACAGCAATGCTTGAAATGTGTGGCGTGCGTCGCAAGCGGGAATATCAGCAGTGAGAGAGTTCCATGTGGTACTGCCAACAAAGGCGATAGAGCTACGGCCTGAGGGACCAGGTAGGAACGGGACTCTGAGCAGTGGCTGACCTGACCACGCATGACACAACTTCTGTCCACATCCGTGGCAATGAGGGAGTAGTAGGATGTGAACAGTGAGCTGGCTCTGCCATGAAGGCAGCGGAAGACGAAGAGAAGCAGACGTTGCACGTACAACTGGTGGAGCTGAGGCAATGATAGTCTGACAAACAGGAGAGCAATGGGGGTCGTTCTGTGAAGTTGGAAGATGGCTCGTATGCCAGATTTAACAATGCGTGTCAGTCGATGTAGCAGCAGTTTGGATAGAGCGGGACAAAAACAGTTTGAGGCATAGCAGAGAACAGACTGGATCATACTCATGTACCAGGCCCGGCGGGCATTTCTCCGCGTCCCAGATCGTCGTCGCTGTTACTAGTACTTCAAAGTATAATTATTATTTTTTATGGTTTACACATGTGCCTTCCCTAGCATCGCTCTTCGTAAGTAACGCTCTTTCTTTTTTCTTCTTCATTTTCACTCTTTGATTTGCATTTTTGTTCTCGGTCCGTGGTTGGTTTCACCTTTACTTCTTTTTATTGGCTATTTTCATTATGTGACATGAAGTGCAAACAGTAAATAAATAAATAAAAATCTAGGGGGAGACCGTGGTGACGCTGGTACTCATCGCCTCTGCTCTCGAGGGTGCCCCGGAACGACGACGCGTACAGGAAAAGCCAAACTTTTTGCATGTTATCTGCATTGTAGTCGTACCATCACTTCACAACTGCAACTTGTATGCGACCAAGGAGACATCGGAGTGGAGGCTGCTGAACTGAGCAAGATCTTCCACGTTGAATACGCGGTAGCGGGCGACGACTTCGATTTTTCACTTTTTAGCTTTGCTGTGCTGAGCGAAGTGAGTCACTTCTTTGCGTTATGAAGTTTTTACATCTTGCTGTCCTGTTCGCACTTTGGCTGGTGTTTTCGGGGATCACGCAGATTCCAGAAAAGCTAGCTACTATCCCTGTCATACTATTCTTGCTCCTCAGTACTTTTGCTCTTCTCTTTCTCATTGTGAACCAAACACTGTAAACGACGAGCAGTTAGCCCAGTTCTTTTGTTGCATGGCAATGTGCCTGTTGGACAAAATGCAAAACATCGTCACTCCCATTGCTTTACAGCACGACATCCTTGCCTTGCGATGACTGTCGTCTTTCGATAATGTGAATCATCCCTTCCTATGGTTCCAATAATGTCATCTGTCTGTCTTTCATGCCGAGAGAGCCACACAGAGAGCAACAGAACAGGAGCGAAAATTAGTCAAAAAAAGTCGGAGAAAGTACCAACATGGTTGTCATTAAAATTCTGAAATTGGTCCACCTAGCGCAACCTTAGTCTCGTCTTGACGTTTCCTTCATTCTCCTGGGTTTTTACCAATAACCAGTGCATGCCGAAGTAGGTGGTGTTATGTGTGTGCAGCAAAATATCGAAAAAAAAGACCAACAAGTAGGAATTCATTGGTCAGAAAAAAATACGTCCAATAGTTGTGGCGTGTAAACCACTTTGAGTAGTAGCGTACTCGAGCGATAAGTGCACTATTTTTTAATGTCCACCACAGATGGGGCGCTATTCAAGATAGGGCACTATTCAAGAGAGGGCAATATTTCAAAACCAAAGAAAGCAACGAAACAGAGCCTAAAGTTTACTGCAACCAATCAAAAAAAAAAAGGGCAGCAAGAACTGTGATTTTAATTCTGACATGGACAAAAGCAGTATCAAAGGATCACCAAACTTGCACATGAGCTTGCTTCCAAGCCGGCAGGGTGGGGAGGGGGGGGGGAGGGGGGGGGGGCATTATACAAGAGACGGGTTTCTTTTTTCACTGGCTCTTAGAGACTAGTGCAAATTCGAGATAGGGCTCTAATCGCGAGAGCACGATAGTGGTCAATTCTTCAGCCTTGCAAGCTGGTGCATGCTGCAATCCCAGCACAACTTAGTACGGCTTCTGTTGTAGTATCGCTATCATCGTCTCCGGCAATGGGCGTCAAAGATTAAAGTTATGCAGAACTGCGACAACAAGGCACAATCTGACAGTGGTACTGAGACATTCGACGACCAGACACCTAGCTCCAACACATGTACCAAGCACCAACCAACAACTTTCCAACTTGGACGTCTCAGGTGTGCGAAGTTCCAAATGAATGGAGTTGAAGTGCAGCAAAGATATGCACAAGCTGTGTTGCGGGGTAACAAAGAATGCCGAACATTACAGGATGAGTAATGAGAATAGAAAGACAATTCGACGTACTGATCATACTCCAACTTGAAGACGCAAAGTAACAGACCACCCAACCCGAAGGTATGTAATATACATGAAGAGGGGAAGCCAAGCGAAGACGATTTCTTGTTTTTACAAATATCACAGCTCACAGGCAAAGACAAAAAAATTGCATAGTGGGAGCATAGTGTTGGTGAGGCTTTTGCCCTCAGCCGACCTGAGGTCTTGACGTCATGGGAATTGTGACAAACATGCAGAAAAGTTCCTAAATCACTTCACGTTGGTGCAAATATAATGGGCAAGTTACTAATTTGAAGTAAGGGTTGGTTCGAGTATTGCCGGTGCGCAGCAGAAACAGGGAATTCAAGCTTCAGTTGACTAACCGTGGTACCATTTGGGCCCATTCTGTACTACTTTGTAGTAGATTCGGTACTCGAACCGTATGCCGGACGGATCGGGAGCTGGCTCACCGCCCGGTCGGCGCCAATTTGGCTGATATGAACCAACCCTTAGGTAAAATTTTAAAAAGATATTCCACAGATGAACGTTTCTCCGTATTGCTGGTGACGGCTGAACAGGTGTGCTTGTCTAAAAATGTATCGTGACCTTAGGAATGCTGTTGGTCATATTTTCAGCATTTAGGCTCCTCCTCTTATACATCAATATTTTTTTCCTTCATCCGTTAAGGCAAACTGTCGTTGCATTTTTTGTGTTCTTGTCATGATATTGCGGTTGGCATTAGACATTAATATGTCCGTAATCCATCTCCTACAAAAGGTATCAGTGGTGTTGTCCATTGATCTTACAGGCATTTGAACCTCCGAGAGCATGGAGTCCTTTCGAAAAAATCGGTGAAGCATAACCGTTTCTGGACAGGATATCACCAGAACACAACTCCCATCCAGGCGCATGACACCAAAGTGTGAAAATGAGAAGCAGTTTGAAAGGCCGTGTGGCTTGAAGAAGTGCCCAGAAGCCGGCCAGCCACTGCTGTACCAGCACAATGGTGCAGGTCC